GTGTGTGTGTGCGCGCGTGTGTGTGTGTGTGTGTGCGTGTGTGTCTAAGTCTTGGATAATTGTTGACGATGTAAATGAAGAAGGCTCACCACTGCCCATACCCTGTATCATACTCTGTAATTTCAACTGTTTATTGCAGATTTGCTTTTACCTCTCAGTACATGTGTCTTACTTTCTTAAGGTGAATTAGATAATCTTCGAATGCACCAAATACGAATTATATGGTGAATTAAGAAATCACCAATGTTGAACGCTTTTGAGACTTATAGGGTCTCGTATTTCTTGTGACTACATGCAATGGGTTAAAGAATTTGTATCTTAGAGAAAGAATGAGAGAGAGAGATATGAGAGTATTGATAGAGAACATTTGGAAATATAATAAATTCTTAAGAGTGCGGCTCCTTGGAGGTTTCCAAAGTTACATGATTTTAGAGGAAGAGAAGAAGAGACAAAAAAAGATAGAGAGAGATCCCGACCCCCTTCCTCTCATTTTTTCTTCCATCTTGATACGCCACCAACAAATTTTCATCATTTGACACGAATTTTGAGACATGACACGGATCCCAAGATAATTTTTTTGTGTAAGAAATGTTCGAATCTTGATAAAAATTCATCTAGAGCTTCGATTTCAGCAAACTTATAGTCAAACAGACCGGCTCGATGAGACAGGCCTAATGATATAAAAACTGACCAAATCCGAGTCAAATCAAACCCATATCAAATCATCAAACCAACATTGAAAGATTTATGGACACATTTGGAAGGTCAAACAGATGTTGACACTAGCAAGCCTATACTCGAATCGAGCGTCTCGACAAGACAAATTTAACGAGCCCAAGATCACTCAATTCCGACATCGTTAAGACACTCAAATATTAATTAAATGTTGCATGATCGAAGGAAACTCTTTGGATCGTCCGATCAAAATGGTTAATATTCCTGCATTAATTGCACTCAGAACACTATAAATAGACCCCCACCCCCCACATGAGGGAAAACTGAAGTCGAGAAAGAGAGCCTGAGGCTTTAAGGAGCAACTGCAGCTCAACATCACCACCGATCGTCGTCGACCACTGCCTACCTCCGTCGTCGACCACCGCCGACCCTCATCAACCACTACCTACTGCCGACGACCACCACTGACCTCTGATGACCACCATCGGCAGTCGTTAACCACCGCCGACTATCGTTGACCACCGTCTACCGTGGTCGACCTTCACCAACCGTCCTCGACTACCATTAACCGCAATTGATCACCACCAACTAGACGTCGTTAGTCGACGTTGTAATCTGAAAAAATATAGTTATCATTTCTCATTTGAGGGAAGATATTTCTGTAATAATTAATCAACAGTAGATTTCCGCAACTGGGCCAGGACCTGTGATTTTTTCTTTACAGATTTTTCCACGTAAAAACTTCTTGAGTCATCACTGATTGATTCTTTTACATCTGTGTGCGCACTAAATTTCGTACAACGCTAAGACGATAGTTTGGACCTGTGATTTTTTCTTTACGGATTTTTCCACGTAAAAACTTCTTGAGTCATCACTGATTGATTCTCTTACATCTGTGTGCGCACTAAATTTTCGTACAACGCTAAGACGATAGTTTGGACCTGTGATTTTTTCTTTACGGATTTTTCCACGTAAAAACTTCTTGAGTCATCACTGATTGATTCTCTTACATCTGTGTGCGCACTAAATTTTCGTACAACGCTAAGACGATAGTTTGTTACTCTACCGCCGCGAATTTTTTAGCACGCATCACTTCTCATACACAGAGAGAAAGATAATAAAATAATCGATATAGTACATTTTGTTTTGTAAGACACCATTTTCTAATGCCTTAATGAAAAAGTTCGTCATATGGGTGTCAGATGTTGTCGGTACGATGACCATCTCTGTGACTGGGTTAAAAGATCGAGTCTCAAGGGTTGGGCGGCGTCGTTAAGAATGGATTTACAGATATCTTCATTAATCATGATAGCCTCCTGCGATAGTCACCCTCGCACAGGTGGGCTAAATTATCCCTTTGAGGGAATGCATATAAATAGAATCATCAAATGATCTTGATTCAACCACTTCAATATGTGAGCCTAACTTAATCACTATAACAGGTGGACTCAATTTAATAAACAAGAAAACTATAAATACTAGTAATTGTGTATACCACCAAAATTTTATAATGAATTTTAATTTTATTGAACTAATTGCCGAAATTTGGAATGTAATGTATTTAATATGTATTGTGCTGTTAATTTAGGCAATCAAATAGTCTCCAAGTTATTTTTGATTCAACTAAGATTATCACGAGAAGTGTTGTTTTTTTTTAATTAATTATAAAATAATAGTGAGAAAAAAAATAACTTTTTAATACATGCAATATATTTTAAATTTAATAAAGAAAAAAATTAGAATATTTTTTTTTACCGTGCTAAAATTACATACAGAGCACTCGAAACATTGCTATTTACAAAATCTAGCTCTCAAAGTGATATTTTTGAACTGTCGAACTGATGTATTTTTGCATGCCACGATCAAATTATTGAGAAATTGATAAAAATGAAAATATAGGTCGGGATTTTATCATGAATTTTGATATTTGAGAGAGTTTGAAAATTTGATGAAAAATGATGCTATATTTGTAAATAAGAATGTTTCAAATGCTATTTATATAAATAACTCGAAAAACTAATGAAAAGTATGTTAGAAAAATAATAGAAAGTATGCTAAAATATAAATTATTAAGAAAAAACTAAATCATTATTTGATTAAAAATAAAAAATGCTCGAGTGCTAATTTTTTCTTTAATATTTCGCACGTGCGAAATTTGGCACGTGCGGCGATCACTAGTGCTGTTGTGCGTTACTCGGGCCTTCTTCACTTGAAATCCCCACCACTCAGAACTCAAAAGATAACGACTCCCCCGCTCTTTTCCTTCCAGTCCACTCGTGCCTGTTCCGAGATTTTGCTTCCCGTCAATCCTTCAAAGCCGCCATTAATTACGACGGAGTAGAGAGTGAGACAGAGATAGAAAGAAGGAGACCAAGGAGACGAAGTAGATAAGCGAATCGCTTCTCCGGAATGCTTCCTTGCAATCATTGCTTATCCATTACAGCTTTCTCGCTAAACCTAGCTCCACCTTTCTGCTCTCCTTTGAAATTGTTTATTCGTCGCCGCAGTCGATTTCTTCGATCGCGTCTAAGGAGATCAGGCAATTTTGATTTGAATATCCTTTGTATTAGCTCCATTTTTTTCGGTGGCTATAGCTTCTTGCTTAGTTTGTTTTTTATGCTTATTTTTTTATATTAGAAATTGATATTTTCTCGAGGCCGCGTGGATATGGAGGAAGAATTAGGTTTTTTTCTGGTAAGGGTGAATGCCGGGCAATACAGCACCGGTTGATGTATTTATGAAAAGAAGGTAACTTCGTTCTTTTTTTTTATATTATTTTTATAGTGTGAAATATTAGATCAATAGCTTTGATGAATAAATCATTTATGCTGATCACTGTTATACTTGAATAATGTGTTTATTGTTTTTGACAATCTTTGCTATACGATTTATTTGTGAAAAGAAATGAGATTGGTTTTGTTGTACCATGAGGGGATTTAGAAATATATTTTTTTGGGTGGTGGTGCAATATAAAAAAATTGGGGTTTTTACATAGCAACAATCTAAAATATTGAATATAACATTTTAACCCCTAAACTTTAAATATAACATTTTAGCAACTTCCTTCATTCCAACCACCCTCATTTACCCATTAGTGAGGCTTTGAGTGAAAAATTTTGGGTTGTTAAAATGTTGTATTTAAAGTTTGGGCGGTTAATATGTCATATTCAATATTTTGGGTGGTTGGTATGTAAAAATTTCAATTAAATTGGATTTCCTATCATAATTTTATTACATAAAATGCAATACTGCTTTTAAGTAAAATGAGATTATGACCTCACTAACAATCTGCATAACATTGATGATGGTGATACCTCCATAAATAGTCTATATGAGCTTCTAACATATCATTTATTTATGAGTGCTCCTTTTAAGCTCCAACTGTTTATGTACCAATTTCGACAAATCTTTTGATACCTAATCATGAATAAACATGGTATAGGATGAGCTGAATCTCACATGATTAGATGCTTAAGTGGGTGGACCTAAAGTAGTGCACGCATGTGCCATATGTTAGAATCTAGATTTTCTCCATATTTTTAGATAAGGTTAAGTTGGTTTTGATTTTCAAAATAAGTGGCTATGAAACTCAAGGTTCATTCATACTTGATTTTCAAGATTGAGAGCTACCAACTTAAGATTAAATCACAATTAGTTTTGATGATTGCTACTTATTTAAAACTATATTCACTCTTCACTTTTCAAATCTACCACTACATGATGTTGTTGTAAGTAGGGGAAAAAATCAATGGTTTTATCCCACAACAAATAACAAAAGAAAGAGAAAGAGAGATGTGAGGGGTGTTAATCGAGAAAGAAATGAAGAATTTGTTTTGGAGCTCTTACGAGAGTAGTTTTTCGGCTTCTTCAAGAAGAAGGGTTATTATTCTAGCTCTAGCAATAGAAGGTCTTATGAACCTAATAGGGAATCGTTCCTATTTAGACTCTTGTACCCAAGAGGGAACAGGGCAGCCACATTTTTTTTTGCAAAACTAATGATCATCTTCACAATAGGTGACTATATTTCTCTTAGTTAGATAAAGTGTTATTTTTTTTCATATCTTCAATTTTGTCTTAGTGTATTTCTTCATCTATCTTTTTGGAGCACAGTGAAGTATTTTATCTTTGTGTGGCTCTAGTTGTAGGCTTATTTAAATCAAATCATATAAATTTTTTATATTCTCTTATGTGTTGCTTGATCTTCTTTTACAATTATATTGTGGTTCAACGAATTTGCTCAAGGGTTGATGCACTTTCTTTTCTAATAGCTGGTATCTGAATAAGGTTATGAAAATAATTATGATAGTCATGAAACTCAGGATCATGAAGTTTGGTGGATCAAAGCGTTTTATGGGGTATATAATATGATGCTTAAAATCGTGAGTGAAGAAGACAAGACAAAGATGGATGAGAAATTTTTCTCAATGATTCACTTAAGTTATATGAATGATGGCTTGATAAAGGTATAAGAGAATACAACTTCAAAAGTTTTGTAGTTTAGGCTAGAGTTTTTATATATTACCAAAAGCCTCTCATAAACTTTAATGCAAGTAGATACTATATTTATTTAACATTAGGATGGTATACCTATAAATTTACATTTGAAAGAATTTAATTCTATTGTTCGACATTTGAAGTATATTAATGTGCTTTTTGATGATAAATATCAAGCTTTATTGTCATTATGCTTATTACCTCTCTTTTGCAAGCACTTTTGAGGTACCATATTATATGATTGTAATACATTAAGCTTAGAAGTTGTTAAGAATTCATTTCTTTCAAACGAGTTTATTTCTAGACTAAAGAGAGGTGATAAATAAGCTTAATGTCTATTTTAGGCTAGAGAAATCCTATGATCAATGAATCTTTTTTAAATATGGTAGGAGTAAATTTTAGATATCTAAAATTTAAGGAAATTATTTGATTCCATTGATGTAAGTATTGGTATAAGTTTTTCTTTTTATTAAATTGGTGATACTTTTTATGATTTTCATATATTTTTTCTCATATGAGCCAATCAACAGTGGCCATGTTTACGTAAGAAATGGAGTTGTGTGCATGATTGGAGGTTTTGAAACTCGATAGTTGAGGTCACACGGTGGTGTAGCTAGATCATTAGCTAGAGTTATATATATACCATATTTGAAGAGGAATTTAATAATTTTAATGCTCCCAATGTTGCAAAATATCGACTATGTTGTGATTATATTGCCCTTAACGTCAATAAGAGTGTGTTGGTTGCTTTGAATGTGAATAGAATTAGTATTCTTTGTGTATTAAGAAGTGCATTCTCATGTTTTAATGTGTTGCATTCAATAGCTATGATGGTGGAGCAATAATGATACTAAGTATGTGATGTTAAGTATTAAACAATAGAGCCATTATAAAATCCATTGTTGACGATTTTGCAAGTGCAGTGCAAAATAAAATTTTTGTTAAGTGGGAGCTTTCCAAAAGATAGTTCGACATTGCGGGGTTGGAAAAGGTTTTGAATTAAGGAGCAACTTATCAATAAGCCCAATTTAACAGGTTTGTCATTGATGGAGTGAGATATTGGAAACCCTCAGTTAAGCTATGTGATTGATGAAAAAAATATTGCATGAAGACATAACACTTGAGAAATTAGGAACTAGCTCGTGTCATTAGTAACAACACTTGAGAAATTAGGAACTAGCTCGTGTCATTAGAGTGACAGAAAAAGGCGGGCTAGCATCAAAGAGACATAGGAGAAAACGTGCAGAAAGATGAAGCGAAAGACATTTTAAGCGGCTGTCATTATAAGGGGTCGGGGCAAAAGGAGAGGTCGTGACCCTCGAGCAAGCCGAGCAAGTGCAATCAAAAGTAACGAATGTAAGATCCAAAATTTTTCTTTCATTTTCTTCCTCCATTCGTTGTCGCCTTTCCGATCGGGACTTCCGTCAAAATCCTTTCCTTTTCTTCTTCACTGTTTTACCACTTCTTTCGGCTACTTAAGGAGGACTGATGTAGAAGCCTAAAGCATCACACTTGTCTCTCTTTTGCCTCCTTTTGTAGCCACCAAACCCTCTCGAGCAACTCCTTTCCTTTTTAGTGCAAACCATCGCCTTTGTGTCAGAACCCTTGTGATACAATCACAATTAGAGCAAAACGGGAGGCAGCAATTTGATCATGACATGCCGAGGCCACCAAAGCTCTTATTGTTCTCCTCCTTTTCCGAACCCTCACGATGCAGTCATGATTAGAGCTAGCGATGAAGGCAACAACATGATCATGGTGTAAAGAGCTCATTGAAACTCCTCTTCTTTCTCCCCAGCCTCTTGCAGCCGCCAGCTCTCTGTCTCCTTTCTCTGTCGATCATGATTTGTAAGTTCCCCTTCCTCATTTCTTCTTTTAAATAAATAGAGACAGAGAGTGATCTTATTTTGATTATCTGATTATTGTGTCAATCTAAGGTAGAAATAACCATAATTATGTTCATAGTTTCTTTCAAAAAAAAAAATAATAATAATAATATCTTAATTCCATTACACCTAATAAAAAATTGAGGTTTAATCACATAATTATTCAAATTTTAGTTCCTAATTTATGTAGATCTTCTGGTTAGCACTAGTTGAATTGTTGAAATGCTTAGAAGTGTTTTTTTGGCCTCCTCGAGGTGAGTAACTGTTCTTTATTATGAGATAAATGTACCCTCCTAATTAGGAGTGTTAACATTGTTATTTGTATTAAATTCCTATCTAGTTGTAGGTTTGCTAGTCTTATCATTTAAGTTCCATTAATATAATTACATTAGATTTCATTTTTGTTCCTAATAGCTTTCTTATGTAATAAGCCTTTTTGAATTACTTGAACCTCATGTTTTAGTAATTATTATTTTTTCAAAGCATTGATATGTGAAATCTCATTACTACATAATCATAATTATTAATAAATACTAATGGACATGTAGTTATATTTCCGTGCTTGGATTGTGATGCTTGAATATAATTGATACTATAATATTATTATGTTGATATTATATCATTTTTGTTATGGCTAGGCCAAAGAGAGATCCTCAGAGAAATCAATGGATTTTCATGGGATTGGTGCTCCTATTCACTTGTTTCAATGTGTTGTAATAAACCGGCTACACACACATACACTACAATTTATATTATCAGGTAGTGCTAAATAATTGATGAGTCGTATCTGTGCAATAACACATGATATTGTGACATGTAAATATTTACATAAAAGTTCACGAGTTAAATTTTATTTATGATCATCAATATGTCATATTCTTTGCAATTTCTCTTATACCTACAATATATTTTCTATATTTATTGTTCATATCGTATGCCTCATTTTTCTTGTCATTTATGTTTTAATGAATAGCTATTATTTATTAAGTTTGATTTGTCAAACTCATCCGTTGATATTTTCATATAATAGATTTTACCGACCAACTTACCAGACCATCTCCATAGGAGTAGATATTCCAGCTTTATTTTTTTTTGTTTATATTTTTAGCTTCACATTAGTTATTATATATTTTTTTAGTCCAGACAGTTGTTTCCTTATTTTTCACTTTAGTTTTTTAGTTATAACTTTTTCTTTTAGTTTTATCAGTTGAACTCTTATTTATAGAATAAAATTTAATTTTTCTTATTTATTTTGTTATTACTTGCATACTCTTTTTCTTTTGTGAGAATAAAATATTTTCAATTCTTTTCATCAAGCCCTGCGTTGTAGGGTGTACCGCCTTTTGGACTCAGATTGTGGCAGAGTAG